GCTTGGTTGCTAGAACAATCTTCAATGTTTGGGGATTTGGCCATAAAGGTAGACTTGTGCATCACCTTGGCAGCATTTTGACGCTCAATTTGTACAAGATGGTTCCTGGCTTATGATCTTTTTACCACAAGTGGGTATTTGCTATTTTTTTTTTTTAAAGAACTGTGTTTTATACATTCGACAAACCTATCAAAAGCCATTTCCTGCTAATTTTGTATATCAAAAAAAAAAAAAAAGCTGCTTGCATATAGCCAAGTGGTTGGAGCAATATGAAGTACTACCTCAGTTGGACTTCTTTCTTATTGGGGAACTATTTGTTCAGCCAGGTGCTGTCTTCTATCCAGAAATGCCATTGTGGAAAATACTAAAGCCATTCTTAAGTGCCTTTTGTCCTTTTCTGAAAGACTGGGCTCTGAATCACCATATATATATTTTTTTTTCATAAGCACTGAATTGTTTAAACTTGCCAACCGGATTTTATTCTTTGGGTAAAATGTAACACTGTAGCTGTATATGATTAGTGTGGATTTGCAAACTTTCAGGTTTCCTCCTAATACTAGGTGTATTACGGTAACATGACTTTTTTCTCTTTGTTTTGCTGCATTGCTACCTGGAAATGGAGAATAACCAGTTCTGACTTTTTTAATGAAACATCTTGTTTATTGTACATGATACCGAGAAGGCGTACTTTTGTGAATGGGTTGTCTTTTTCTAACATAACCAAAGTTTGCAGTTTAATACCTCAACAAGACAGGGATGTTGTTAATCACACTTTACTGCAGACAGACTGGAACAAATGTGCCTATTTTTGGTTTTCTTTACTCCTACCCTTTTTAAAATTATAATGTTAATATGTTAGGGGGAAAAAAAACCACGTTTTATAGGGTTTTTTGCTGAATTTGTCAATTTTTTGTACAATGTGCAAGTTGAAGTTCTCAAAATAAATATCTTTTCAGATGAAAGTGACTCTTTTCCTTCAATTCTTTTTATCTGAAGCAGGTTTCCAGACCTAATTGCTTGGGCAGGAATTTGTATTTATGCTCTATTATGCTAAGCCTTTTATTTTTTAAGGCCTGTTATTTTCATTATGATTTTTCATTACCAAGAAATTGGGAAATGCTGATTTGATATTCTTGTCTTCAAAATATTTGCTTCTAGGCACTAGTGAAAGGCATATGTTCAACTGAAAAAACAAAGATTCCTCAAATGTCTCTCTTTTTGGGTCATAACTTATATTAGATTTCCACAGTACTAAAATCCAAATATCAACTGGTAATTGGAATTGCCTGCACATTTAATGAATAAGACCAAAATTGTTAGAACTGCCATGTTGTGCATCACATTGGAGGTGTTTATGGCAAGTAGAGTGAGCATCTTCATCAACTTATTAAACCACTGAGGTTTTCATAAACAATGCAGATGAAGCAAATGAAGAAAACACAGGCATTTGAGATATTGAACACAAAAGCTGTGAAATTGTGCAACTGCTGCTTAATTGGCTCTCTAAAATAAATTTATTTTAAGATTAGTGTTGACATTAAACACTTTAAATTTCAGGTATTTAAATTTCAGTGAAAATGTCTTTCTGCTCTTTCATCTCTCTTGTGATGAGAAGAATTTGGGGTGGGTGAGTGAGTGAAACTGAGAAGTGTGCGTGTGTATGTAAATTAGAAAAAACCTATTGCAATGACCTCCTTAGTTTATTGGTTTTGTTATTATTTGGAATTTGGAAAGCAAACTTTGTTCTCCTGCATAGGTTTCAATGTACTGTTATAAGTGTTAGTGTTTGTTTAGCATGAATTAGAACTTCTCTGTAAATTAGATACTTTATAACTTGGGGCTTGCTGATCTCAACATAAAGCTGTGCTATAAAGTGAGCTGGTGTCTGGCTCTGGATATGAAAGGATTGTCTGTTTTAATGGTAGAGATCATTAGTAGGATGATGCTTTGTTTCCTGTACATACTTGTGTACATTTGTGTTGTGAAATGCTGGAGTAAATATCCAATATGTGATTTGGTAAAATAAGTGTGGTGTGGATAAGGAATCGGGAAGCACAAATAACAACTGGAAAAAAACCAAACAAACTCCAAACCAACCAAGGACCTTTCTTCTATTTTGGGAATTCCTACCTTGCTTCCTAGCAGCTGAACAGAATCTATAGTCTGCATGGTTTAATTGAGCACAAATTAAAAAATGCCCCTGATAGTTCTTCCTCCTGGCAGGCTTCCATGGTCCTGTAACTGCAGCCAGTTTGAGGAGCATCTGACGGGCGGTGGAGGTGACTGCTGAAGTCAGGGCTGGGAGGTGAGGCGGGAGGAGCTGGGCCTGGTCCTCTGGCAGGAGAAGGGCACCCACTGCTGTCCCTGTCAGGGGGCCGTGAGGTGGGGTACTGCTGGGTCGTCTGGCGGGAAATTGGAAGGCAGAGGTAAATCCCCTTGTTTGTAAAGAATGAGCTAGTGGGGAGAGGTGGATTCAGCACTGGTCGTAGCTGATGGTTAACTTTTTTAAAGCTCTAGGTACTGGAGACAACCAGGTACCTAAAACTACCCCCTGAATACAGCTCATCTCTTGATGCCCATTTCCCTCCTGTGGCCCCTCAGGCTGCTCATCCCTTCAGGGGTGGCGGTGTCAGGCAAGAGGGGAGGCGCGGGGCTGGGGCTGGTCTTCGAGCTCTGCCGACTGCAGGCTGGTGATGTGACCATCTCTGTCGAGGGACGGATGCCAGCTTTAACGCCTTTGTGCTAGCCCTGCAGGTGCCCTGAGGACCGCAGCGCTGGGCGAGGTGCTGCTCGGGCCTGTCGGGGCCCCGCTCAGGGTAAGCCCCCTCACACTGCGAGGCTGAGGCCTGCAGGCCGGCGCTCTGGGGGCGCAGGGGCAGGTTAACGATG